CAAATTAGTACGGGCAGGTGCGTGCTTCTAGCCATGGCTTCGGTGGTTGCCCTCTTTGCCGTTCCTGCGGCCGTGGCCCTCGCGCGGCCGTTCCTTGGGATTCCGCTGGGCGCCGTCTCGCTGGCTGAACCTGTCCGGAAGGCACAAGAATCAAAGGTCAGCCCCGGGGGATGCTGGGAGGCTTCTCCTCCTGTCACGATGGGCATGAATCTGGAATCGCCCCCTCCCTTTATGCACGCTGCCTCTTGGGGACCAGAAACACCCATCATAAGCACAGAGTGGCCAGCTCTGGGTTGGGAAAGGAAGGGTTTGTGGAGGGGAGAGACCTCAGCAGGGTGTAAGGCCACAGAGTCCACCGTCTACAGCAGTAGGAAAGAGCAAGAGGCCAGGAGCACCTTCAAGACTAACCAAAGTTGTGCAGGGGAGGCGCTTTCGTGAGTCACGGCTCACTGCTTCAGGTCTCTGAGAACTTCTGCAGCAGTAGAAAAGAGCAAGAGTCCAGCAGCACCTTCAAGACTAACCACATTTGTGGCAGGGTGTGAGCTTTCACGAGTCACTGCTCACTTCTTCATAGTCTGATCCCCGGAGTGCCACGGAGGCCCCACTCAAGGTCCCCTAGTGGGGCCTCCGTGGCACTCTGGGGATCAGAATATGGGTCTCCCACAGAGCCAGTTTGGTGTAGTGGTTAAGTGTGCGGACTCTAATCTGGGAGAATCGGGTTTGATTCCCCACTCCTCCACTTGCAGCTGCTGGATGACCTTGGGCGAGCCGTAGTTCTGTCAGAGCTCTTCTCTCAAGAACAGTTCTCTCAGAGCTCTCTCAGCCCCGCCTACCTCACAGGGTGTCTGTTGTGGGGAGGGGAAGGGAAAGGAGATTGTAAGCCGCTCTGAGACTCTGAGTGAAGGGCGGGATATAAATCCAATCTCCTCTCTTCTTCTTCTTCATAAGAACATAAGAAGAAGAGAGAAGAGAAGAGATTGGATTAAACCCTGCCCTTCACTACCCAAAGGAGTCTCAGAGTGCCTTAGAATCTGTGAGGTAGGTGGGGCTGAGAGAGTTCTGAGAGAACGGCTCTTGAGAGAAGAGCTCTGAGAGAACCTGTGACTGACCCAAGGTCATGCCAGCAGCTGTATGATGTGGAAGAGTGGGGAATCAAACCCAGTTCTCCCAGATTAGAGTCCGTGCTCCTAACCACTACACCAAACTGACTCTCCAGAAGGGCCCTTCTGGATCAGACCAGTGAGGGTCCATCTAGTCCAGCATCCTGTCTCACACAGTGGCCTCAACCAGTTCCTCTGGAGGGCCAACAACAGGGCAGAGAGGCCGAGGCCTTCCCCTCAGAAGAACATCAGAAGAGCCCTGCTGGATCAGACCAGTGAGGGTCCAACAACAGGGCAGAGAGGCCGAGGCCTTCCCCTCATAAGAACATCAGAAGAGAGCCAGAGGTCATTTCGGGGGGGAACGCGGGGGAACACAGTTCCCCCGGGTGAGGTGCGGGGGGGCAGGGCACACGATAAAGCCCCGCCCCCTGCTTCCAGCCGCCCCGCCTCCGGCCCTCATTCAGCCAGGAGGAGGCAGGAGAAGAGGGAGGGTAAGTTGCTTCCTCCCCGCCTCTACCCACCCCTGCCTTCCTGGGGCCAGGGAGGGCCTTGGCGGGGCTTCCTCGCACTCCCACCGGCCTTGCAGGTCCACCGCCGGGCCCCTGATGTCAGGGGGTGTGGCATATGGTAATGAGTTATGCTAATGAGTTCCCCTAGCTCTTTTTCTACGAAACGACCCCTGATAAGAGTCCTGCTGGGTCAGACCAGTGAGGGTCCCTCTAGTCCAGCATCCTGTCTCACACAGTGGCCCCAACCAGTTCCTCTGGAGGGCCAACAACAGGGCAGAGAGGCCGAGGCCTTCCCCTCATAAGAAAGTAAGAAGAGCCCTGCTGGGTCAGACCAGTGAGGGTCCATCTAGTCCAACATCCTGCCTCACACAGAGGCCTCAACCAGTTCCTCTGGAGGGCCAGCAATGGGGCAGAGAGGCCGAGGCCTTCCCCTCATAAGAACATCAGAAGAGCCCTGCTGGGTCAGACCAGTGAGGGTCCCTCTAGTCCAGCATCCCGTCTCACACAGAGGCCTCAACCAGTTCCTCTGGAGAGCCAACAACAGGGCATAGTTGCTGAGGACTTCTCCTCATGCTGCCTCCTGGCTCTAGGATTCAGTGTTTGAATGTGGAGGATCCCCTCAAGTCACCATGGCTGTGAATCCGCATCAATATATCTAATCCTAGGCTAGTACCTTCACTGCTACACTACAGTACACTGCACCTTCTGTCCCACTGTTTTCTACTCTCAACGCTACCTGGCCTTCAGCATCTCTCTGCAGTAGAGGGGCAGTGGCTCAGTGGCAGAACATTTGCTTTGCATGAGGAAGGTCCCAGGTTCAATCCCCGGCATCTCCAGTCAAAAGGACCAGGCAGTAGGTGATGTCAAAGACCCCTGCCTGAGACCCTGGAGAGCCGCTGCCAGTCTGAGTTGGGCCTGTGGCTTAGAGGCAGAGCCTCCGCTTTGCAGGCAGAAGGTCCCCAGTTCAATCCTTGGCTTCTCCAGTTAAAAAGGACCAGGCAGTAGGTGACGGGAAAGACCTCTGCCTGGAGACTAGGGAGAGCATAGCCAAGACTGGCCTAGAGAGATGAGTGAGGGCTCTCACCTGCCCCCTGGCGCCACTTCGAGTTGTCTCAGGACCACCTCCTCAAAATCATCGACTGCCTCTTCGCTGCCCCCCAGCAGCTGGGCCAGGTCCTCCAGAACGTCCTCGATTTCATCCAGAAAGTCGACGAAGCTCGTGCGGTTGTGGGCAAAAGCCCCGTCGCTGCCGAAGAAGCCCTCCAGTGCAGCCGCCAGGCCCCCGTAGTGCTCCGCCCAGCCCAGCCCGTCCAGGTAGTTTTGTACCACCTGCAGGAAGCCGGTTTTCTGCACTGGGGCGAGCCCCTCCTGCCGGGCACACTCGGCGATGCCGGCACAGCCCTGGGGAGGCCGGAAATGGTGCCGGGTCAGCATCTCCCACAATGCACTGGGCTCAGAAGGCTTCCTGGCCTTCCGCCCGAGGCTCTGGGGCTCCCTCTCCTTAGCGGACTTGGCGTCCCGCGGGCCCTGGTGTTTCCTGGGACGGTGAGGCCCATCGTCCGGTGCCTTGGGGATCTTATGGGCCGAACGGTGGTCCTTGGCTGGGCTGAGCTCTGGGTGCCCAGGCCTCGGCCCCTCTTGGCCCTCGTGACGCTTCGGCCAGGCTCTTTCCTTGCCTCGCTTGGCCTTCGGGGCCTCCCTCCAGGACGGTTTGGTGCCCCTCGGGCGCTCCAGCTCCTGGCCCAGCTTCTGCTGAATGGCGCTCAGCTCCGTCCGCAGCCCCTCAGCCCCGTCGCTGGACGGGGTTATCTGCAAGGCCTTGGCCAGGTCGTGGCGAACTGACTCCAGCAGGGAGCGCAGGCGGCGGAGTTCGGACTCCGGCCTGTCGGCCTGGTCCCGCTGGCGTCCTGCCGCGGGTTCCTCTTCCCCGTGCCGTTGGGTTCCGGCCCCATCCGCCTCGCCCGCCATTTCTCTCAGCTTTTCTTGGAGAAAGCGTAGTTCGGCCTGCACGGCCAGGAGGGCAGAGGTCTCCTGCTGGAGCGACTCCCTCAGCCGGGTGTTCTCCGCCGCCAAGTTCTGCTGCTGGGAGGTGAACTCCAACGCCTCGCCCTCCGTCTTCCGCAGCAGGCCCTGCAGCTCTTCCTTCTGGGACTATGGAGAGGAAAGGAAGGTGTTTTGAGCTGCTGGAACCCACAGAGAATCACCCAAGCCGCCAAGAGGGGCTTGCCAGGCTGACAAACCCAATTAAAAATCTTTAAAATTCATTGGAGTCGCCTGCATAATGACATCACTTCCGGGGAATATTCAGAAGTGACAGTGGTAGCTCTAGGAATTGCCAGAAATTCTATGGTGAAAACTTTGCGTTACCGCCCTCACGGTCAGACATACACCAGAAGGTGGTTGAAACCACCCAGGTGGTCCAACATAATAGTGAAACACACAGCATGTATGTGAACAAGAAGAAATCAACTGTGCGTGGTGTCAATACCAATTTCAAAAATCAATAAATAATAATTATTAACAGATAATTAATTTATAGGCTAATAAATAAACCATTTATACAATTTCCAAATCCTAAGCAAAATTATTCCTACAATACACAATTCATTATCAGGGCATAAATGATTTAACGTCAATCCTGCATGTGGCTCACAAAGTCCCAAACACTTCAAAGAAGAAGAAGAAGAGATTGGATTTATACCCCGCCCTTCACTTGGAGTCTCAGAGCGGCTTACAAACTCCCTTCCCTTCCCCTCCCCCCAACCCCTGCAAGGTGGGTGGGGCTGAGAGAACTCTGACACAAACTGCTCTTTCAGGAACAGCTGTGCCAGAGCTTGTGACTGATCCAAGGTCACATCGGCAGGTGCAAGTGGAGGAGTGGGGAATCAAACCCGGTTCTCCCAGATTAGAGTCTGCGCACTTAACCACTACACCAAACTGGCTCTCAGTCCCTCCTAATGAGCAGTATGATTCACAATGTAAAGGGGGAAAACGAGCTTTCAGAAGATGAGGAAAGGCTGAAAGAGTTGGGTCTGTTTAGCCTGGGAAAGAGAAGGCTTAGAGGGGACATGATTGCAGCGTTCAAGTATCTGAAGGGCTGTCATGTAGAAGATGGAGCAGATCTATTCTCTCTTGCTCCGGATTGCAAGACTAGATCTAATCGGTGGAAATTACAAGGGAGTCGATACCGGCTAAATATCAGGAGAAATGTCCTAACTGTCAGAGTGGTTGAACAGTGGAACAGTCTGCCTCGGGAGGTGGTGGATGCTCCTTCGCTGGATGTTTTCCAAGCAGAGGCTGGATGACCATCTTTTGGGTATGTTGTAGGGCTATCTTTTGGCTATGCTCCTGCAGAGTGCAGGGGGTTGGACTAGATGACCTGCAAGGTCCCTTCCAACTCTAACATTCTATGATTCTAAGATGTTTACTCCAACAGTTCCAAAAAAGGAATACTTGAATGGGCCTCCAGGCCCCACCTGGAGGCTGGCTGTCCAGATTGTTAATATGGAAGTTAGGTTCCAGAGCAGAATGACATCAGGGGTGTAAAAATTCCCCCTCTCTCCAACTCCCACTGCTTCTCCCCTCGAAAGGCTTGTAGACAGAACACGGACCAGGCCGAAGCCAGCCTCAGGTTGCCCAAAGCGTCCCTGTGACGACCCCTTATTTGGGGAGGTCTGGTTTTACTTTAATGTTTATTTTCTGTGCTTACAAATTAGGTAGTTCTAGCTGCCACCAGGAATTTTAATAAATTCCAATTCTTCTCTTTGCTTCTGGGGTTGGTATTGTAGCACGGGGTCTAGGCCTTTCGAGGAACTATGTGTTTCCAGAGGAATAATGGATCAGGCTTCTGGGATAAACTTACATAAAAATGATTTATTTGAAGAGGAACAAAACTAGAGGTTGGTTATTATGTAACTGACTGAGAATACGGTTCTTGTAACTATATTTGTCAACTGTATCACACACACTGTGAGTTTTAGTGCTGACAGGAATCTCTTTACTTAGGCAACCACACAGTTTAATCTCTGGGTAAATTTAACTTCTTCAAAACTTTAAAGATTCACTATTGAAGATATATGCTGAGCTCTCTCTCTCAGATACCACACAGAACAAAATCTCTCACAGAGACCTCAGGACAAAACTCATATTAACTCTTTTTACACAGCACACTCTGCTCTGACTACTGTTTTTCTCAACTGTCATACCTAACAGACACAACAGATAGACATTCCAATCATCCACACAGCATCCATTCCAACACCCCTCCCCCTCTCTGTCACTCACCAATCATATCCCTTGCTTGTCCAGCACTCTGGATTCCTCACACAGCTATGCCAACCAAACTTTTTAAACACACACACACACACACAGTAAAACATGGAATCGTTACAGTCCCCCACCTTCCCTTGCCAAGTAGGCCTTGCCACGCTCCCCCCCCAATAGTCTGGCACTCCCCCCCCTTGCTTTTTTATCGCCTGTTTCAGATTGTAGGCTCTGTGGAGGCCAAGACCTGCAACGGTGTCATTATCACGGTGAAGACCGTTCGGTTGCCATGGATACCAGGAATGCACAGTAGAACTGGGGAGCAAAGAAAGGTGTCTTTGGAGAGAGTGAAGTTGAAACAGAGGTGGGAAAATGGGGGGAGGGAGGATTTGAACAGAAGGATTTGTAGCTACGCCCTGGGTTGCCAACCTCCAGATGGGTCCAGGAGTTCTCCAGGAATTTTAACTGATCAACAGACTCGAGAGATCAGTTCCCTTCGAGAAAACGCAGCTTCAGGGAGTGGACTCCACAGTGTTCCATAGATTCTAGGTGATCCCCCTCCTCAAATTCCCCCTTCCACAGGCACCACCTGAAAATCTCCAGGAATTTCCCAGGCTAGAGTTGACAACCCTTGCTACACCCCATTCTCCTCTGTGTCACCCCTTCCCCTCCTGTGTGGTTTTGTGATAACCCAGGCGTGCCTAGCTGGGCCCTGTCTGTATTGACACCAGGACAAGAGCGTCCATGAATGAATGGTTCTCCTTCTGGCTGTGGGCCTTCTTAGCTACAACCAAGCAGACTGCGCTGCTTTGGCACGCGGCACCCTTTTCTGGGGGTTGGCACCCCTCAGAAGGGTTTTCTCTGACAACGCATATGCCAAGGGCACATGATAACAACAGGCGGCACCCAGGTACAGCTGGAGAATGTGTGGCCCTCACGAAAGGTAAGCACATCTTAAAGGTAAGGAATTCACTGCCGCAGGAAGTGGTGGCAGCTACAAGCAGAGACAGCATCAAGAGGGGATTGGAGAAACGTATGGAGCAGAGGTCCACCAGTGGCTATTAGCCACAAGGTATAGGTAGGAACTCTGGGTCTGGGACAGTGATGTTCTGTCTTCTTGGTGCTTGGGGGGAGCAACTGTGGAAGGGCTTCTGGAGTTCTGGCCCCACTAGTGGACCTCCTGGTGGCCCCTGGTATTTTTGGCCACCGTGTGACACAGAGTGTTGGACTGGATGGGCCATTGGCCTGATCCAACATTGGCCTATCTCTTATGTTCTTATGTACATCCAGGTCTAGCTAATACCTGCACAGCAGACCTCCTGGGCACCCCACATAAGCCCCCTTCATTCCCATGTTGGAAGAAAAAGGGGACAGAAATATAATAAATAACTAACATGGACCTCAGTCCTAAGGCAAGACAGATGAGTCATGACTCAGAAGGCAAAGGTGATTCTCTGCAGCGTGGGCGGCTTGGCTCCCTTGGATTAGCTGCTTGGTACTACTGGCTTCTGCTAAGACCTGTTTATAACCAGTGCTCTGTTTTTGAGAGGCTGCAGTCCAGATTTTGGAGTCAGGCCTGTGCAGTGGGGCTCATTGAGGTGACTGCAGTGTCCCCCAACAGCATACAGCATCCCAGAGACTCAATAAATGGCCTGCCCGGGACTGCAGGAATTGGGGGTTGCCACACATCGGAGGCCACAATATAACACAAGAACATGAGAAGAGCCCTGCTGGATCAGACCAGTGAGGGTCCATCTAGTCCAGCATCCCGTCTCTCACAGGGGCCTCAACCACTTCCCCTGGAGGGCCAACAACAGGGCATCTCCTCCATGCATCTATCTAATCCCCTTTTAAAGCTGTTTATTCCTGTGACCATCACGACATCCACTGGCAGCAAATTCCACATTTTAATCATTCTCTGTGTAAAGTAGTGTTTCCTTTTGTCTGTTCTGATCCTACTGCCCATCAGCTTCACTGGATGGGCACATGGTTCTAGTATTTTGGGAGAGGGAGAGAAAGTTCTCTCCCTCCACTCTCTCTACCTCGTGCAGAATACCGGTGGTGTTGGGGGCCACGATCCGCTTGGTGGATCCCAAGCGAGTCAGAGTAGGGTGATCCCTGATGGGGCCGATACCTCCCAGCTCCGTCCCCATCCCTTCCCTTCCCTGCCCACCCCCCTCCCTCACCTGCAGTTCGGCCTGCATGAGCCGGATCTCCTGATTCTCCTTGGCGAGCTTGTCTAACAGGACCCCCATGGCGTCCAAGCTCTGGGGCTTCTTGGGGGCCTCCATTTGTGGCTCGTCCTTGGCTCGTGGCGGCCTGGCACCCCTCCTGGGCTCTGGAGGGGGCGAAGTTGGCCAGCCCTGCTGGGGGAAAGAAACAGACAGGTTTGCCTTATTTGTTCTGTGTCGGGATTCGAATCTGTAGCAAAGCCCTGCATACCACTGCTTCAGGCACCGGAGTGGAGAAAGGAGTGATCCAAGTCCCAGCATGGCTCAGAGCTCCTTTTTTTGGCCGCCCCCAGATTCCCTCTGAGCTAAACTGCCTTTTAACGCTTCCAGGCTGAGTCAGACAACTAGCCTATCAAGGTCGGTATTGTCTGCTCTGAGTGGCAGCCGCTCCATACGGTCTCACGTGCCCGAGGCGTTCTCATTACCTCCTGCCTGATCCTTCCAACTGGAGCTGCTGCCGGGTCCGTGGCTCAGTGGAAGAGCATCTGTTTTGCATGCAGAAGGTCTTGGGGCCGAACCCAAGACCTTCTGCACTCAAAACACATGCTGTTCCACTGAGCCACGGACCCACCTCGCCAGCTGTGTCTTTGTCCGGGCGTCAGACAGCCTCTGCCCTCTGATCTTCGTTCACCTGCCTTCCCACTCCTATAGCTCCAACACTGACACTCAGCGCTGCTTCCAAATTGACCCTCCTGATAGTTTTGCTTTTGTTCTGGCTCAGGTGTGTGTATGTGGGGGGTGAGGAGGTGCAGGAGAGGGAGGAGCAGAGGTCATTTCGGGGGGGATCGCGGGGGATCGCAGTTCCCCCGAGTGAGGTGCGGGGGGCGGGGCACACGATGAAGCCCCGCCCCCTGCTTCCGTCCACCCTGCTTCCAGCCCTCATTCAGCCAGGAGGAGGCAGGAGAAGAGGGAGGGTAAGTTGCTTCCTCTCCGCCTCTCCCCACCCCTGCATGCCTGGGGCCAGGGAGGGCCTTGGCAGGGCTTCCTCGCACTCCCGCCGACCTTGCAGGTCCACCATCGAGCCTCTGATGTCAGGGGGTGTGGCATATGCTAATGAGGTATGCTAATGAGTTCCCCTAGCTCTTTTTCTACGAAACGACCCCTGGGGGCGAGGGGAAAAGGCTCAAGGACTGAAGCTAAGAAGAAGGACTGAGGCTTGGGTGGCCAACGTTATACCTGCTGAAGTTTCTCCCTTCCCCAAACCACAACCTCCTCAGGCTCCACCCCCAAAACCTCAAAATATTTCCCAACTCGCACCTGGCGACCCTAACTGAGGGCGGAACAGTCTTCAAGGAGGCGCAGAGGGTGGGTTAAGGCAGGTCTTCTAAGGCTCAGCGTCCAAGATTGAGGGGGTGGAGCTTGATAGCTAAGGGGAGGAGTCTGACCGATTAGAGGCGGAGTCTAGCGGTGATTGGTGGGGGAAGAGGGTGGCACCCTGGTCCAGGGGAGGCGGAGTGAACAGCACACACATGGACACACAAGAAGTTGCCTTATACTGAATCACACCCTCGGTCCATCAAGTTCAGTGTTGTCTACTCAGACTGTCTGCCGCTCTCCACGGTCTCAAACAGAGGTCTTTCCCATGACCTACTGTATGGTCCTTTTAACTGGAGAAGCCGGGGATTGAACCTGGGACCTTCTGCGTGCCAAGCAGAGGCTCCAGCACGGAGCAATGGACCCTACTCAGACTGCCAGTGGCTCTCCAGAGTTTCACGCAGAGGTCTTTCACATCACCTACTGCCAGATCTTTCAAACAGAGATGCTCGTGGTGGGACCTGGGACCTTCTGGACACCAAGCGGGTTATCTTTCACTGAGCCACAGCCCCTTCCCAAAGGTGTCCAACCACGAAGAAAATTAAGAAGATCAGAAGAGTCCTGCTGGATCAAACCAGTGGTCCATCTAGTCTAGCATCCTGACTCACACAGTGGCCAACCAGTTCCTCTGGAGGACCAATAACAGGGCAGAGAGGCCGAGGCCTTCCCCTGATAAGAACATCAGAAGAGCCCTGCTGGGTCAGACCAGTGAGAGTCCCTCTAGTCCAGCATCCTGCCTCACACTGTGGCCTCAACCAGTTCCTCTGGAGAGCCAACAACAGGGCAGAGAGGCCGAGGCCTTCCCCTCATAAGAACATCAGAAGGGCCTTGCTGGATCAGACCAGCGTGAGTCCCTCCAGTCCAGCATCCTGCCTCACACAGTTGCCTCAACCAGTTCCTCTGGAGGGCCAACAGCAGGGCAGAGAGGCCGAGGCCTTCTTCTCATAAGAACATCAGAAGAGCCCTACTGGATCAGACCAGCGTAGGTCCATCTAGTCCAGCATCCCATCTCACACAGTGGCCTCAACCAGTTCCTCTGGAGGGCCAACAACAGGGCAGAGAGGCCGAGGCCTTCCCCTCAGAAGAACATCAGAAGAGCCCTGCTGGGTCAGACCAGTGAGGGTCCCTCTAGTCCAGCATCCTGTCTCCCACAGTGGCCTCAACCAGTTCCTCTGGAGGGCCAACGACAGGGCAGAGAGGCCGAGGCCTTCCCCTCATAAGAACATCAGAAGAGCCCTGCTGGGTCAGACCAGTGAGGGTCCATCTAGTCCAGCATCCCGTCTCCCACAGTGGCCTCAACCAGTTCCTCTGGAGGGCCAACAACAGGGCAGAGAGGCCGAGGCCTTCCCCTCAGAAGAACATCAGAAGAGCCCTGCTGGGTCAGACCAGTGAGGGTCCATCTAGTCCAGCATCCTGCCTCACACAGTGGCCTCAACCAGTTCCTCCGGAGAGCCAACCACAGGGCAGAGAGGCCGAGGCCTTCCCCTCATGAGAACATCAGAAGATCCCTGCTGGGTCAGACCAGTGAGGGTCCCTCTAGTCCAGCATCCTGTCTCCCACAGTGGCCTCAACCAGTTCCTCTGGAGGGCCAACGACAGGGCAGAGAGGCCGAGGCCTTCCCCTCATAAGAACATCAGAAGAGCCCTGCTGGGTCAGACCAGTGAGGGTCCATCTAGTCCAGCATCCCGTCTCCCACAGTGGCCTCAACCAGTTCCTCTGGAGGGCCAACGACAGGGCAGAGAGGCCGAGGCCTTCCCCTGATGTTGCCTCCTCCAAATTACTTGGCCCCTTCCCCTGAAGACTCTGATGAAGAGGATTAAAGCCCCCAAACTTCATGGCGGGAAGCACCCATCCTCGTGCTAAGGAGAGGGGCATGTGGGGTTGACAGAAAGACCCTGGTGTCGTGGGGGGGGGGGCTGTACACCTGCAACCGGGGACTCTGAGATCACAACCACCCTGGTGCCCAGCATTGGAACTGCAGGAGAAATGTGGCCTCTTCTGCCAAAGGAGTGGTTGTCCTGAAAGCCATTCTGTTGTTCTGGCACAGGCACTGAAGGGCCACGCTCACCTTCCCACTGGTGTCTGGACGCAGCTCCTCTCCTTCCGAGCTTCTCCAGGTGTCCAGCGTGTCCACAGGGCCTGTACAACCCAGAGGGGAAGATGGAAAGAGGAGGTGAGGCAGAAGAGTTTAACAGGCATTTTAGGATATGAGTCTACAGCACGCAGACTGGCTCACTAACTCGAGACTCGAGACATCCACCCTTTGCAGAAGTGTGGGGGAGGGTGAGCATTTCCCTGGTTGGTTTAAATCAAGGAACAATCGTCTCAAAGGTCAAGTGTTCCTGATTAGGTGTTTGTTGGTTTGCGTTCAATTATACCACACACACCCCAGGCTCTTATCTGACATGCTGCCCCCCCCCCTCATTTCTGGCTCTAGGACTGAGCACGGTAGTGGTAACAGTGTCAAGCCAAGTCCTGGGAGATTGGGTTCGAAACCCCACTCGCTCATGAAGCTCACCGGGTGACCTTGGCCCAGTCAACGTCTCCTCCGCCTGTCCTACCTCACTGGGCTGTTGTGAGAATAAAAGGTGGAAAAGAGAATGATGAATGCTACCTGAGAATCTTGGAGGAACTTGGTGAAAACACAACATATTCAATAGGTAGGTAGAGAGGTCAGCAGGTAGGTGATAGAAAGAATGTCTCTTAGACCAGGGGTGTCGAACTCATTTGTTATGAGGGCCAGATCTGACATAAATGAGACCCTGTTGGGCCGGGAGGAGGAGACTGGTTTTTATACCTCGCTTTTCACTACCTGAAGAAGTCTCAGAGCGGCTTAGAATCACCTTCCCTTCCTCTCCCCACAACAGAAACCCTGTGAGATAGGTGGGGCTGAGAGAGCTCGGAGAGAACTTGTAAATGAGCCAAGGCCACCCGGCAGGCTTCATGTGGAGAAGTGCGGAATCAAACCTGGTTCTCCAGATTAGAGTCCGCCACTCTTAACAGCGACACCAAACTGGCTAGATAGATAGATAGACAAAAGAATGTTTCTTAGATAGATAAAATGTCTGTTCTTTAGACAGAGAGACAGAGAATAATGCCTTTTGTCTTTAGTTAGAAGAATGCCAGATAGATAGATAGATAGATAGATAGATAGATAGATAGATAGATAGATAGATAGATAGATAGAGACATACATACATACATACAGAGGTCATTTCGGGGGGAAACGTGGGGGATCGCAGTTCCCCCGGGTGAGGTACGGGGGGCGGGGCACATGACGAAGCCCCGCCCCCTACTTCCGGCCGCCCTGCTTTCAGCCCTCATTCAGCCAGGAGGAGGCAGGAGAAGAGGGAGGGTAAGGTCCACCGCCGGGCCCCTAATGTCAGGGGGTGTGGCATATGCTAATGAGTTATGCTAATGAGTTCCCCTAGTCCTTTTTCTACGAAATGACCCCTGGATGGATAGACAGACAGACAGACAGACAGAATAATGCCTCTCAGATAGATGGACAGAATGTCTGTTCTTTAGATAGACATACATAGAAGAATGCCTTTTGTCTTTAGATAGAAGAATACCAGATGATAGACAGGAAGGAAGGAAGGAAGGAAGGAAGGCCTAGCCCTAAAGGAAACTTAGCCTGATGTCGAACCTTCCCCGGTCTCCCCAGACTTACCTTCTTCCAGGTCAAAGATGACTCCTGTAGAGGGAAGAACACAGTGAGTGAGAAACCAGCAAAGGAGTCTCCACCTTAACCCCATCTCACCTACTTAGGGTTCCCATCTCCAGGTTGGGGAATTCCTGGCTATCTGGGGGTGGAGCCTGGGGAGGGTGGGGTTTGGGGAGGGGCCTCAATGGGGTATGGTGCCACAGAGTCCACCCTCCAGAGCTACTATTTTACTCTACCTCTGTCATCTGGAGAGCCCTGGTAATTCCAGGAGAGCTCCAGGCCCCACCTGGATCTTGGCAACCTTACCTCTGGGAGGCCGCCACTTACCTGAGAAGGCCAGGAAGCCCAGCCCGAGGAGGGCTAGGCACCCCAGCACCCATTTTGTCCCAGGCGGCCCTCCGTCCTCGGTCTCGGGGGCCTCCCCACGTCTGTCGTGATGGCTCCCCGGCTGAGCTGGGGGCACGTCACGGCCTTTCCGCCTGCGCAGTCCTTCGACGTCCCGCTCTGCGGCTCCTTCTTCCTCACTGCTGGATGTGCCCACATGTTGCTCCAGAGGGCCTGGGAGAGAAAGAGAGGAGCCGACCTCCCAAAATCAAGAGCCTCCCAAGGAGCTCACACTAACTCAGCTTAGACGGAACAGTGGTCAGAAGTGTGGTTCCCCCCATCCCAGGATTGGTGGAGGAGGTGGGTGTTGGGGAAAAGCCTTTGTGTGATTTTTGCACTGGGGAAAACGCGCTTGGTGCCACATAGTGCTTTTGTAATGCTGGGAGACTGAAAGATGTGTGGGTCCCCCCCCCACAATGCCTCCAATGGTCAGAAAATGCACCTCAATTCTGCACACGTAAAAAGCACTCTCTCTCCCCCACTGGCCTTTTGTCTTTAGTTAGAAGAATGCCAGATAGATAGATAGATAGATAGATAGATAGATAGATAGATAGATAGACAGACAGCTGGGGTTTTCTGCAGAGCTCTTACAGCTGTCACTCATCTGTTTGCACACCACCGTTTATTCCATCTGTCTAAAGCCAGCCGCACACGACTCCTCCCACTTTATCTCCATAAAGAATGGGGGGGGGACCCTTCCCTTGCAGCTATATCAAGCAAAGGAATCTAACACAATCAAGATTAGGCTGAGAAATGCAGACAGCAACAATAGTCTGAGAAATACAAGTACCTTTTTTAGGCTGCAACGTGTGCATTGTCTCTTCTGATCTGTCCAATCAAGCATTCTATAAAAGGCTGTTCTAGCAAAAGAATTACTTTGAGGATACCATATCTAACAGCTTCTGCAGGGACCACACCGTCTCTTCAATACAGTTTTGCTGCTCCTGATTAGAGCACTGAACAAAATCCTGGGTTCATTATCCTTTCTCACTGTGTTTAAACTACATTCCTATCATAATCATATTTGACAAGATCCGTCAATGGATACTACATTAATGTCTTTTCTTTAAAAGCCATGTATTAGTTCTTCCTTATGTTATCGATAGTCCACCTACATAGGTCATATATATTTTAAGCTATACTCTTATGCCACAGGAGGTGGTGGCGGCTACAAGCACGGATGGCTTCAAGAGGGCACTGGATAAACATCTGGAGCAGAGGTCCATCAGTGGCTGTTAGCCACAAGGTATAGATAGGAACTCTTAGCTTAAATAAGGCTACAAAAGCAGGAGCGTCACTTTACCATGTTACTCAGCTTACAAAGCTACGCAGAGTCACATTGCAAGTTTAGAAGAGAAATGGCGAGAGGCCCATTTGCCTCGTGGTGCCAAGAGGAGGACCGCATGTCTTTCTCTTGATGATGAGGAGGAGGAGGAGGAGAAGAAGAGGAGGAGGAGAAGAGGAGGAGGAGGACAAGGAGGAGAAGAAGAAGAGGAGGAGGAGGAGGAGAAAAAGAGGAGGAGGAGGAGATTGGATTTATACCCCGCCCTTCACTACCCGAAGGAGTCTCAGAGCGGCTTACAAACTCCTTTCCCTTCCCCTCCCCACAACAGACACCCTGTGAGGCGGGTGGGGCTGAGGGAGTTATTGACAGAAACTGCTCTTTTTCAAGAACAGCTCTTGTCAGAATATGGCTTGCCCAAGGTCACATCAGCAGGTGCAAGTGGAGGAGTGGAGAATCAA